CCTGCCCTTACCCCTCCCAGCCAGCACTCCTTTCTTTTCCCAGATAAGAAAAAACTGCCAAACAGATATCTCGAGGAGACATAGACTGTAGCCAGAGTCCTAACACCTCAAAAATATTTGAGAATCCCCTCTTCTATCTGTCTCCTCCTAACCTACAGAGTTACAGTTGCCACATTTAGCAAAGAAAATATAAGATGCCCAGTAAAATTTGAGATAAACCATAAAATTTTAATATAAGTATGCTCTATGCAATATTTGGGGACATATCCTAAAAAATTATTTGGTGTTTGCATTGAAATTGAATGGACATCCTGTATTTTATTTAGCAACCCTAAAGAGAGTACATACCCTAATGATTTCCCAAATCCATCTAATGTTTTGAGATCTTTCTTTGAGACTTCCTCCTAATTTAAACCTAGAGCAAAATGTTTGTAATAACTGAGACTGTATTTGTGTGAAGTTTAATGGCTGTTGCACTGCCCAGCTACACACAACTCCCTCTTGTTTTAAGAACATAATAGAAACAAGACTGTGTTTGAAAAACCTAAATGAGATATTTTTCTGTTTTGTAATTTTTTGTTAAATATTTCAAAGACACACACAAGCAATGACAGTGATATAATGCATTGCCCACACTTTATTTACACCCTACCCAGTTTATTTTCTTTTTTGTTTGGATGTGGGTGTTTATATTGCCATTCCCTAAGTCAGTGGTTTTGACCTTCAGCTGTGTGTTATTGTCACCTGGAGAGCTTTTTACATCCTCATCCCCCGCCTACCTCCCAGACCAATTAAGTCAGAATCCCTGGCATGAGAGTCAGACATCAGAAGCTGCCCCGGTGATTACAGTGAGCGGCCAGAGCTGAGAACCAATTCCTTAAATGAAAATGGCAAAATCAAAGTAGTATTTTTACTGCTGAATCGTGTCCTCATATTCTAAATTCATCTTCAAAATTATTTCAAATTATTTGTGGTTTTCTTATGTCTTTTTCATATTTATTTCTCTCTGTTAGGTTTTAAACCAGTGGTTCTCTACTCATTAAAATCATCTTAGGATGCTGTTTTAAGAAAATGCCTTGGCTCCCCTCCTGGAGGTTGTGCTCTGATTGGTCTGGTGTGGAGCCAGGATTTCTTGGTTTTAAAAGCACCTGAGGAGATTCTGAGTTTAAGCAGAGTTGAAAGCCAGGATTTTTTAATATGTCAAATAACTATCTAGCTGATCATCTGAATCTCCTGGGGAACTTTTATTTATTTATTTTTTAGTGGAAGAAAACACATTTATGTATTTATTCATTTCTACTTACAAGTAAGGTCACAGACATCAAGTAGACACCGTACTGTCTGGCAATACCTTGTCAGTCTCTGGTCTAATTCTCTTTACTCAGACCTCCAACAGTCTCTCGTTCTCACTTTCCTTCCTTTTTTTTTTTTTTTTTTTCCCTATTAAGATTTATTTATTTATTTATTTATTTGAGAGAGAGAGAGAGAATCTCAAGCAGACTCCCCGCCGAATGCCCCTGAGATCATGACCTGAGCCAAAATCAAGAGTTCGATGCTTAACTGATTGAGCCACCCAGGCGCCCCTCCTTCTCACTTTCAATACAATTCACAAAAGAGAAACAACTCATCTTTCCAGCACCACATCTACCAGCCTAAGTGTATTTGTATCCACGTACTCTGCCTTCCCACTTTGGACAGGGAGGAGCTCTCCTTGTCCCCCTCAAGGTCAGGTCCTGCTTGTACATAAGAGCCAGTGTCTCCTAGGTAACTTTTAAAACACACATGTAATTGCCCTGCTTGATAAAGTAGAAGGAATTTTGAAGTTCTAGGAGGAGGAGAAATGGGTGTTGGCAAATGACCTTCAGAGTAATGGGTATAAATGAGGAATCCTGTTGAGGTTAGCGAAAGGACTTTTGAGAATAAGAATAAGAATGTCTAATATTTTGGAAATATTTTATTTCCACGACACCTGGGTGGCTCAATTGGTTAAGCATCTGACTTCTGCTCAGGTCATGATCTCGGGGTCCTGGGATCAAGCCCTACGTTGGGCTGCACACTCAGTGGGAGTCTGCTTCTCCCTCTCCTTCTGCCCCTCCCGCTCTCCTGCCTCTCCCCCGATCCTGCACGTTCTCTCTCTCTCAAATAAATAAAATCTAAAAAAAAAAATATTTTGTTTCTTCTGCTATGTTTCAATGTAAACACCTATTCTGTTGCTCTGAAACCTTTAGAGAAGGCCGTCACGCATGGGTACAGCAGCACATGCCCACACCCACACAGAGTAGAATGTCCATTGTCCAGGCCCCACCCCTGGAAATCCTATTTCAGGAGGTTCAAAGTGAGGCCCTGATATCAGTATTTTAAACCTTTCCCAGACCATTGTGGCAAGTGGCCAGGTTTGGTCCCACTGATTGTAGATGTTACATCTTTAGACAATGTTCATCACAATCCATCCCATTGACATCTGGGTGAATTGATGTTGGGGAACATAAAATCAATGGTAAAACTGGGTTTTTGCAACAGGGAAAAAAAGAAAGTCTGATTCTTATTAGACCTCCCTCGGATCTACCTTGTCTTTTTCTCTTTGAGTGACTCTGAAGGAAGATACAACCTTTCTGAAATAGGACATTAGAAGACCAAGGAGGTATACAGAAAAATGAATAATAATAATAAATTTTAAAGCAGGCTTAATCTCCTGTAATACGAAATAACAGAGAGGAAATATGACCTACATAATCAACAGTCATGAGCACCAATCCAAAGATATCGTTCATTTGTCAAATACTGAGTGCTGGCTAAAAGACAGGGACTGAGCTGGGCCCTTGGAGCTCAGGGTATCGTATGGCCTCGGGAATCACAGTCTAGAAGAGACCAATAATTATCATCAGTGGGAAGAAAAATGGGAAATTACATAAGTAGTAAATATAGACCTAGTATGCAGGGGATTAGTGGTAAGGGAAAACTTCAGAGAAGCAGAAGACAAAACCAGGCTTTTGAAAGATACAATGATCAAGGTGTAGGGAGAATGGAAGGAGAGTGAGGGGGGAAACAGCAGTTCTTATCAGAGTGAATAGAATTGCAGGCATGGGCTTAAAGCAGCATGTGTGGTACATTGCCTGAATTATGGATGGTTCTGTAACACTGTCGTGTAATGTTCTGGAGGACTTGAGGCAGGAAGAAGGCAGAGGGGTTGCCTTGCCCTATGTCAGACTCCACTCACATACATCAGCCCATTGTTCTTGGGTATTATGATGAGTTCCTAGAGTGTCCATAAAAAGTTAGCCAAGAGATGGCCAACAAGCCTTGCTAGCCTAAAACAAAAGACGTATGATCCCTATTTGTCAGATTCTGCAGCAAAATCCTCTTTCTCCAGACTAATCTGCTCATATCCTCCTTATTGGTATTGCCATGCTTTTACTGTTAGACTTCCTTTTTATTCTAGACTCTGGAATTTTTAACCTCCTTGGACATAGGCATTTATTTTTGCATGATGTTTGTGGTGGATCACACGAGCCTGAGTTCAGTGTGAATATAATTTCAGTTGGATGAGACTCTAACTTTTCATCCCACAGGAATTGTATCGGGCAATGTCAGTAATCCCCCACATCCCTAAGGTCACCACATAGACACCTGTTAGCTCAGGCTAACCCCCATCTCTTCTGCTGTTACCTTCCTTCAGGTGGGAACACTGACTTTAGTTTTGTGCACTTAATTTTTATTATAAGGTATATTGTTCAAATATACAGACAAATACAAAGAATCATGTAATAAACACCCATTCACTTACTGCAGGGCTTAATCAGATCTAAACATTTTGCTCTATTTGCATCAATTATTTTTACAAACTAAAACATTGTAGATACAGTAAGTTAAAGCTCTATCTCCCCTGAGTCTAATTCCCCTCCTCTCTTATCATTCATGGTTTTACACATTCAGTACATCTATGTGTCCATAAACAACATATAGTATTGCTTTATACATTTTTAAACTTTGTATAAATTATTGCATCCTTGAAATATCTATCTATACCTTGCATTTTTGTTGAAAATTAAGTTTTTGGGATTTATTGATGATGACAAATAGATTTAGTTTGCTTTTTAAGACTACTTTATAACATACAATATATCGCTCTACTGAAATTTACTTTTTACTGCGTACAGGTAGACATTTGAGGTTTTTTTTCCAATTTTTCAGTATAATAAAGCCATAGTTAACATCCTTGTACACATTTTCATGTGCACAGATATATTGGGTTTTTATTCCTTAATCTCTTCTTTTACTCATATTAGTAACATTCACTATGTAGCATTTATATACATATATGTATACATATATATGATTTATAGACATACCTATATATTATAGACATATATATATGTCTATAAATCAGCCATCCTAATTGTCTCAAACATGACATCATCATCACCTTTAAAACAGTATTATAAAATTGCACTTATGTTTTCAACTTGTAACCTCTCACTAGTCACCAGGAATTTCCCTCATTGGAGATATATAAACCTTAGTTCTGAACCGTGGAATAATTTAAGGAGTAATCAAATGTGAGTACAGAATTGGAGAGGAGGATAATATACCTTCAAGAAACTTGGGGCAATTTAAGGACTGATCTTGCCCTTTTCCTGGTTCCTTGACATGTAAATGGTCAGAGTCAGCCTGAGTCACTATTCCCCTCATACGGACTGAAAGCCAGCTGACTGCAGAATTTAGCCGCTGAATTTAATACAAGCTGTTGTTAAAAGCATACACATTACCACTTATTGCCCTGGGAGGAAATAAGTCACATGTGGTTTTTTTTTTTTTTAATTTTAACTTCATTTGATTTATTAGTGGTTGCTAGATACTGAGCTATAGGGTAGGTGCTCTGGGATGTCCAAAGATGAAGAAGTCCTCCAACAAACTCACAATCCTGCAAAGAAGAGATGCTTAGGAAGAGTCATCTGTCAGATTTTGGCATCTGAAATAGGCTCTTTATTTTCTCCTTTAGCGACACTCAGGAAATGCTTGTCTCCTGCTGTTGATGCATAATCTGAGAGTACTATGGATCATGCTGAAGAAAATGAAATCCTCGCAGCAAGCCAGAGGTACTATGTGGAAAGGCCTATCTTTAGTCACCCGGTCCTCCAGGAAAGACTGCACAAGAAGGACAAAATTTCAGATTCCATCGGGGATAAGCTGAAACAGGCATTCACGTATGTTGTGTTTTAACCTATTTCCTTTATCCTGTCATTCAGTTATGACAGAAGCGAGGTCAAATGTTATCAAGAAAATCTGGTGCGGTGGGGAAAATGAAACAAATGGTGAGCACTTAGGATTTGCTAACTGTCCGCACAGTTCACTCAAGGATAGGTATCTGATTGAACCCTGGCTTCATTATATATTTCACCCTGTTTATTAAATTTTGATTATACTTGCATCCGTTTAACGGTTTATCTAAATACCCTGCTTTCCCATACTCCACCGCCTTCGAAATATCCACCTCTTCTCTTCGTCTCTCAGGAATATTCCAACCACTGTATCTTTTTTTTCCACCCCGACCTCTACTCCATTTGGCAACATCCTTAATTTATGTCCCAACCCAGGCTGTGAAGGACATTCAGTGTCCTAAGACTCCTCACTTTGGAGACGCTTACACAGCCATGTTGCTGGCCTGGGAATGGTAATAGGTGTTGCCTGACAAGTGTGTCTCTGGAGAGCTCCCAAGATTAGGTTTGATTGCTCCCTTCTGGACCCTTGGGAAGACACATCCATGTTCTGTGTTCATGCATACTTCACAGGGACCCTCCGCTCTAGGTATGATCATCAGGAGAGTTTTAAAATGTATTCACTGGAGTCAGACTATCAGTTTTAATCCTAATCCCAATCACCTACCAACTGTGTGCTTGCATTTCCTGCTCTACAAAAGGGGGATAATAATAGTACTTATAGAGTTCCTGGGGGTTAAAATCTGTTAATATATGCAGAGTCCAAGGCACGTGGTAAGTACTACATTAGTGTAGCTATTATTAATGTCTTGATTTTCTAAACGAGGAGACTGGCATCTAGTTTGTTCCACTCAAATTCATGGCTCTTGCCACAGTTGCCCCAGATCTCCTTCCAATATCTTCCTTCACCTGATGATCGGATACTTTTGGCCACTGAAGACATGATATAAAGTACCATGCATGCTGCAAGAATGCATTGTCTTTTTGAATGGAATAAACTGCTTCCTTGCTTCCTTGTTACCCGGAGAACTTGGGGCTGTCGAGGTGGTGATGAAACCCATCTGTCCATCTCTTATTTAGTGATGTCTCTGATGATTGGCATAGACGGGCAAAAGGACTGGCCAGGGCCCAGAACATAGTCTATGTACCAAAATCAACTGAACTCTATAGGGATTAAGTGCAAGGCCTGGGTTTTATCAGCATGATGTTCCACCTAATCAAGACAACCAGACACAGAATCCGCTACAACACGTCAGTGATAAATGGTGTTCTGAGTTTACCTAATCAAAGACCCTAAAGCATTGACTACATATTCATAAAGCTCATAGTACTTGTATAAATTTCCTTCATTTTATAAGGACAGGGGAAACTAAATGGGCCTATCAGTCAGTGGTTCCACATCCAAAAATTTACTCAATCAGTAAATAATTCCCCCACTTTTTTTTTACACCAACACAGAAAGTACATTAGGATTTCATCTGCTAAAATAATAGCTTCCAAGGTATCTCAATTATTTTGAAGCTAAATTTTTCTTATTTTTCATGGTAAATTGTAGAGCATTATTATAGCCAATTCAGATGTTTCCCTTAAAAAAAAAAGTTTACAAACAGATCTTCTTGTTTCTCATCTCTGCAGAGTGGAAAGGTCATTCTTAGCACAGAATGTGAATTTTTCCTTATTGCGCCAGGATACGGGGAAGGGAAAATGCCTTGGTATGAATTCTATAGAAGTATTCCTCATTTTATCTCTGGGTTTTTTTGTTTTGTTTTGTTTTGTTTTGTTTTTGTCCTCCCAGATGTACTCCTAAGAAGATACGAAATATCATTTATATGTTCCTGCCCATAACAAAGTGGTTACCGGCATACAAGTTCAAAGAGTATGTGTTGGGTGACTTGGTCTCAGGTATAAGCACAGGGGTGCTTCAGCTTCCTCAAGGTTAGTAGGTATATTCATTTCTTTGTGTTGTTTCCCTTGCCATCATCTCTTCAAACAGTTGTTGACCTTTTTTCTGTTTACTTTCATCATGATTGTGAATTCATAGTTTTTATCATATTCTAGTAACCTTTATCTGTCTAAAGGAATTCTTCAGAAATATTTAACCCTTAAAAAGCCCAGAGACAGTAGTAGTAGAATATGGTGATACTAGTTTGCAGATCAGTATATTCCTAGGAACTGGCTGGGCATGGCCTTACTTCTTCCTAAGTTAGCCGGTCACTCAATGAATGTGTTGTTGGAGTTCTCCTTGTTAAGGTTCTTGACTTTTAAGTCCATATTCTAATTACAAGGGACCGGGATATGCTGAATTCCTCTACATTTGTGTGATTTTTATGTGTGATATAAGAATTTAAGAAAATGCTCATTAATTTATTCATCTATTCATACATGATTATCAAGCATTTGCCCAGCTCTCCTTGTCCTTATGAATCTAACAATCCAATCAGGCAGAAAGGCATGAAGCAAATAAAAGCACATATACATTTTTAACTACAAATGATGTTAAACACAATGAAGGAAAATTCAGGGTACCGGAAGATAATAATAGGGGAACCTAACTTAAGTAGGTAAGTCACAGAAACTTCTTTAAGAGAGATTTGAGCTGAGCCCTGAAGGATGAGCAGGAGGCAGGTAAGGAATGAGAGGAAATGCATTTGAGGCAGAAGGAATAGCATGTGTGAAGACACTTAGCAGGAAAAGAATTGAGTATTTGAAGACTTGGTTTGAAGAATTACTAGAAAAGCAGCTTGCTAGGGGTGTAGGGGAAGAGGGGCCGGTGGCCAGCGAGGTGGGCAGTGATAGATCTGCAGAGCCTTTTTGGCCAATGTTTGGATTCACTCTGAGTGCGCTGAAAGCCATCACCGTGCTTTCACTTGGGGTTTCTTTCTTTCTAAGGGGTCACTAGGACTGCTGTTGGGGTGAAGTGGATTTGGTTGGTGGGAGGGGTACCAGAATGAAAGTGGGGAGACCAATTAGAGGTGATAGGACTCGGTATAGGGAAAAGGTGATAATGGCTTGAACAGCCTCTAGGTCCGTTGGCCAAGAATCTCTTCCCTTCTCCAGTTTCCCAAAACTTAATTACCAAATGATCAATTTGTCAAGAAAAAAAAACCACTTCCCCTAATGATCAATTAGTTGCATTTTTAATTTTCCAAGTGACCGATTTACCAAATCTGTTAAACATAAGCCTTGTACCAGGTGTAGGATGGTTTTCCACATCCATTTTGGCACCAACACCCCAAGGGCAGAGAAGGAGACAGGTTCAAAGACGGGGGTGGGGGCAGGGAGGGGAGCACACAGAGGCTCAGCATCTGAAATGGGAAACAAGTGAAACTGACATTGAATCAAGTGGGACAAAAAAAGCTACAGAAGTACTGCAGTGAAACCGTGTAAACTAATACTTCAGCGAAATCCTCAGGATTGTGCCTAATTGGGTTAAAATGCCATTCCACAGGTTTATTTTTGACTTGTTAGCCATCTTCCATCTTGAACTAGGGTGGTGGTGATAAAAATGAAAAGAGTTATAAAGGTACATGCTGTATTTTATGGTGAATTCAGCCAGATTGGCTGTTGGATTGATTGAGGGGAGAATGGGGAAGCAAGGCATGTCAAGAATTACTTTAAGGTTTCTGGGCCGATGAGTTGGATGCGGGGACATTGAGGAAGAAGGATGGTCAAGAATGACTCTCAGATTTCTGGTTCTAACATCTGAGGGTTGGAGGTGCCCACTGCAGATGTAATAAAGACGGCAGGAGGGATGAATTTGAAGGGTAAATTTGAACATGTTAAATTTGAAATGCTTGTGAGATAGACAAATGGACATTGCATGTTTATATTTAAAATATGGGCTAAAAAGAGAGCTGTGGGCTAGAGATGTCAGTTTGGGGATCTTTGACATACAGGGGACATTTAAGCCATGGAAGGCCACCCAAGGAAAAGAATGTGGAGTGAAAGAGAAGAGAGCCAGGATCAAGGTTTGTCCGACATTAAAGACCAAATAAAGAAGGAGGAACTGGCAGAAGAGACGGAAAAAGAAGCATCTGGAAAGGGGAAAGGAGAACCAGGAACCTGTGGCTTTACAGGAAGGAAGAAGGAATGATCCAGTAGGTTGAACACTAAGGGATGTAAGTCATCCCACAATCAAATTTGTATGGAAAAGGTATTTTTCTGCCCATCACTAGTCAATGAAGATAGATAAATAGGAACACCAAAATGTAGCAAAGAGAGAGATCCAAGAGATTAGTAAGTTGATGTCTTGTGGTTGGTAAATTATTAGTAAAAAGACTTTGTTAAGCATTGAATTAATGCATTCATGAACTTAATTGAATACATGCTTCTTTCTCTAAATTTAAAATCCCTCTAAAATGATGGTAAAGGAGAGGGAAATGGTATAAACTAGCAAGGACAAAGAAAATGGGAGAGCAGGCACCATGGAGCAGGAAAAAAAATGGCAAGTGATAGACGAGTGACAACTGAGTCATCAGAGTGGAGGAAGCTGGTATTTGGGTGTCTGCCTTGCAGAACATTGGGAAATTGGCAGCTCCAAGGGTTGTCAAAGGTCAGAGTCAGGCAGATGGCTAGAAGCAAGAGGGATTGGTTGAAAGTCTGTATAATAAATAGCAAGTACATGGACACCCAGGTCCCCACCAACACCACTCAGTGGATGGCAGGTGAAAGCACTGAAAGATGTCAGGAGGAATGAAGTCTACACATTGACCTGTGCACTAACAAAGGCTCTTCTTTGCCCCGTGCAGCTCCAAAGAGCCTGTGAGAACTTACGGCCCAAAGCAAACGATGACCCACCCCCAGAGAAAAAAAGCGATAGTGACAACTGGGGGTTCCCCAACCAAGATGCTGGCTGGTCTCCCAGTTGCCATACAGTAAAGCTCATCAGTAAATAAAGAGGGCCAATGCACATGAAGCTTCAAGGAAGAAAACAAACCAAACAGAAAGAAGGACCTCATTGGGCATGTAAATAATGGAGAGGGCCAAATAAAACATAATTGCCCTATAATATTCTCAGCAAGTTATGAAAACATATTGAATCCATGGGATAAGAACAGGATGTGATTTTAAAGATTTTATTTCAAGAGAGAGCTTGAGCAGGGGAAGAGGCAGACACAGAGGAGAATCTCAAGCAGTCTCCACACTGAGCACAGAGCCCCACGCACGGCTCCATCTCATGACCTGAGCCAAAATCGAGTCGGGTGCTTAATCGACTGCACCACCCAGGTGTCCCGGGGTGTGATTTTTAAAAGGAGCCTTCAGAGAACAAGAAAGAGCTCATAGAAATTAAAAATATGATAGCTGGAATTAAAACGTTCAGTCAAATGGGTTGGAAGATAGAGGAAATCTGGAAGTAGAAGAAAGAGATGAATACGTGTGCAATAAGAAGGGCAAGATGGGAACCCCAGAGGATCAGTCCTGGTGTCCATCCTATATCTGCTGGCATTCCAGAAAGAAGAGGTTAAACAGAACAAAAGAGACTATCAAAGAATATTTTCAGAATTGAAATACATGAGTTTTCAGACTGCGAGAAACCACCAGGTACCCAGCAGAAGAAATCAAAAATAAAATGAGGCACACCATAATAAGTATCCGAATACCAGGGTTAAAGAGAAGATCTCAAAACTTCTTAGAAAGGAAAAAAAATCACATATTATGATATAACTAAGTGGAAGCTGAAAAAACAGGAAGTCAGTAGTTCACATCTGAAACTGATGAACTGAGAATAATAATGCCAACACATTGTTTAGAGCAAGGTTTCTCAGCCCTGTACCATACCAGGAACAGCCCCCATCCTCAGTCAGTCATGATAACAAAAAATGTCTCCTGACATTGCCAGATGTCCCTGGGGGGCGGGGGGGGGGGTGGCGCAAAAGCCTCTTAGTTGAAGACTGTTGATTTAGAGAAATGAGATAAATGGTAGAAAAACAGCTAAACAAGTTGGAAGTGAGCGCCTCTGGGGAGCAGAGCCTGGAGGTAAGGCAGAAGAGAGCCCACTTTTCTTCAGAGCCTTTTAGTACTGCTTGGCTTTTTAAACTATAGACATGCGTTCCTTTGAAATAAAAATAAAAAATAGAAATTTGTTTTTTAAAAAAAGACAACGTTAAAATGACCATATTATTATATATGGAATAGGGATGCTTCCCCAACTCTTCTTTGGCTAAAATTTTTTTCTTCACAACATGACAATGCATTAAGTGAATTTTGTAGTTGTCCCAGACATTTGGCTGAGCCCCCTGAGCTGAGAACAAGGGGTGTTTATTGCCTACACATTCTGAAGAGGATGCCAGACAGACCATCTATGCAAAACTATGAGTGAATGACGCCAAACTGTCTCTTTAGTGCATCACTTCAACAGGATATATTTGGGGACCAGGGATATGATAGTAAATTTGGAGTGAGAATTTTCTAGAGAGAAGTGAGCACTATACATTTCCCCTCCACCTAAAGTCAAGGTAGGACTGAATGCAAGAGAACCACTCAAGAGCACTGAACACATGTCCTCTGGAGTTTTGGGGGGATTGTTGCCTAATTCTTGCAAGAGGAAAAAATCTACAGGTAAAAAGGTGTAAACTGCCCACGTAGGCAGAATGGAAAGCCCTCCAGTGGGCGTGGCCTGCACTTCCAAAGCTTCTTGTAAAGGTGCCAAGCTTTCCCGTTGGATAAGTGGGTGCTCTGGAAGGTAATGAGGCTTGGCTCATTTGAAAGGTACCTGCCCAAGAAGACTGCCTAGGGAGGAACATATGCCTACAGAGAGAACCTGGAAGAGGTGTAAGAACTGGGCCCTGGGAGTTCCTTATTGAAAAGGGATCCCCAGCAGACCCACAAAAACACCCTGTTACAGAAACAGCCAGCATTTGGCCATCAACACGGATTATAGCTACACCAGTAAAAGTAGGACTTTCTGCCCTTACTTAGGTTGGGAAAGAATAAAACAGAAAAATGTCCACCCCTTGGCAAAGAGGAGATGACAGGGAAAAGGGTCTCAGCCTGGGTGTAGGATTGGGATGCAAGGGTGGGCAGGTTAGGACCCATCTGCTTAAATTAATGTGGCTTTCACTGCTTCATCCTAAAGCACCAAGAGATAAGTATATATAACTCTCTGTTTTTCTGTTTGGTTTCAATCCCACAGGGTTAGCCTTTGCAATGCTGGCTGCCGTACCTCCAGTGTTTGGCCTGTACTCTTCATTTTACCCTGTTATCATGTATTGTTTTTTTGGAACCTCCAGACACATATCCATAGGTAAAAGCTGAGAGTTGATATTTTAGTGCTGTTCTGTTTGGATTTCCAAGCTTTGCAGTGTGCCAAAGAAATAGCCTGTTTGGGCGCCTGGGTGGCTCAGTCGTTAGGCGTGTGCCTTCGGCTCAGGTCATGATCCCAGGGTCCTGGCATCGAGTCCCACATCGGGCTCCCTGCTCCGCGGGACGCCTGCTTCTCCCTCTCCCACGCCCCCTGCTTGTGTTCCCTCTCTCACTGTGTCTCTCTCTGTCAAATAAATAAATAAAATATTTAAAAAAAATAGCCTGTTTGTTATCAGAACATCCGTTTCATAGTAACTTTTGTTACTGCATACCCTCTAGGTGCTTTATAAAAATAGACTCCCCCCAGATTTCCAGAACGAATAGCTTTCTTATAATCTTGGCATACGGGAAAAAAAAAAAAAAAAACATTTTCTCATGTAAGAAAGAGCAATTGTTGAAATCTGGGAGATAAGTACTTTAGTTCATAATACAATTTGCTTGGATCTGGTTTTTCTTTTTCTTTTTTATTTTATTAGTGTTACTGCATGTTCCTAATTACTATGCATGTATCACATTTTCATCCTATTTGAGGCTCTGAACTCTACATGATTTTTCCCAGTGTATTTAGAATAAGACTTATATGGACTTCATAACAGCGTTGGTGCTGCATGAGGCTACCACCAGCGAACACACACACAATGTTTCCGATGTCCGGTGCTGGGTAACAAATATGCCCCAAATGTAGCAACTTAAAATATTTACTTGATTATCTTGCACAGTTCCTGTGGGTCAGGATTTGGGAAGCCCTCATCTTGGGCAGTTCTGCCTCAGGGTCTGTTATGAAGTTGAGAGTCAAAGGAGGAGCTGAAGCAGCTACTCTCTCTCTCCCCCCCCCTCCATCCTTGCCCCTCCATCCTTCTCTCCACGGGGTCCTAATTGAGCTTGCTCACACCCAGTGCCCAGCGCAAACAAGCGTTCCATCTGAGACGGCAGCAGCATCACCTTCTGTTACCTAGCTTCAGAAGCCTCACAGCATCACTTTTGCTGCATGTCACAAGCCCACCCAGATTCAAGGAGAGATGAATTAGACTACCTCTTAATGGGCAGACATCCAGGTTCTAGAAGAGTCCATGGGATGGAAGCTATCATCATGGTCATTTTTAGGGAATACGATCTGTATGTACACGATCTGTATGTACACCCAGGGGCACAAGGCTGAAGAGCAGTGCAGTTTTATGTCAGTGATGCTGTATCAACCTCACCTGGGTCTCCTTGAGAACCGGCAACAACCAAGGAGGTACACAGAAAATGATTGCCTCAATTAATGCTTCACTTCACTTTCAGGTCCATTTGCTGTGATTAGCCTGATGATTGGCGGTGTGGCTGTTCGATTAGTACCAGATGATATAGTCATTCCAGGAGGAGTGAATGCAACCAACGGGACAGAAGCAAGAGATGCCTTGAGGGTGAAAGTTGCCATGTCTGTGACCTTACTTTCAGGAATCATCCAGGTAATAGTCACAGGTGGAGAAATGGGCTCTCATTTGTTCATTTAATAAATACCTATTGAGCCTTCGGGGCTGGTCTACATGGTGGGCAGGGTCCAGCCAGCAGAGATCCAGAGCTCGGGGCTCAAAGCACTCAGAACACCAGTCCCACTGCACGGCTCACTTAAGTTGGTATTTATTAGGAGCTAGCAAGCTTCACTTGGGTCCTTTAGAGATTCCAAAGGCAAGAAAAGTTTAAAGCAGGATTGATTACTAATGGAAAGAAGCCCTCTCTTATCTGCTTGGAAGGAACAGGAGGTGACATTGACTCAACATGCCCCCAGTTCTGAGGACCAGGGAAAGTATGAGTATGCCCAGTGCTGGGGGGCGGGCGGGCGGCGGGCTCCAAGCCACTCCCAACCTTCGACTGCTTTCTGTATAACCGGTGTTTCACTTGGGAGCTAGTTAACTGCTGCAGAGGCAAGACTGTAGTGTTAGAAAGTGGTCCAGAAAGAACTTTTGTATGTTTTCTGTTGGTTTTCACTTCCTGGTCTATCACATGACTTCTTTGTTTCTTTGTCATTAAAAAAAATTAGTTTTGCCTAGGTGTCTGTAGGTTTGGATTTGTGGCCATATATCTCACAGAGCCCCTGGTCCGGGGGTTTACCACCGCGGCAGCTGTGCACGTCTTCACCTCCATGTTGAAATACCTGTTTGGAGTGAAAACAAAGCGGTACAGTGGGATCTTTTCAGTGGTGTATGTAAGTAAGCTACTTCCTGACTTACTGGTTTTTCCTTCTTATTTTCCTCTCTTCTCTTCTGTATCTCTGTCACCTTCAAGGCTCACTTTTCCAAGAATTAAAATAAAATGGAAAAGATCTCATTATTCTAAGCCTTTTCTGAGAACCCTACACAGAGAATTAAACCTTAAAGTCCCATTTTATTAATAGGTGATACCTCACAAGGAATTTTTTATTAGGCCTTTATTTGGTGACCGCACCTTCACCCCAATTGGCTGAAAAGAATGCTTTTTCTTAAGACCGAATTGTGTTCTCTTTGGGAGCTAACATAATTTAAAGGCATCACAGGAGAACACATCTCTCTCTAAAACTGCTTACTCAAGCAGGCAAAAAAAAAATAAGTAAATCTATAAAAGATTTAACCAACACAATTACCCATCAAATCTAATAAAATCTATGTCGACCCTTGCACCCAACTCAGAGAAAATATAAATTATTTGCAAGCACATAGTGAACAATGGTAAGAACTGATCGTGTTGAAACTGATCACAGATTCTGAAAATTCAGTATTTTCTCACACAGTGCAGTATAATTAGCAATCGATAACTAAATATAGCTTTAAAGCCCCCATACATTTGGAAAACAAAAACCTTCTTAATATTCCATGGATAAAGAGGAAGTTATGAAATAACTAAAACCAAATGACAGTTAAATTCTTCGTATCCAAAGTTCTGAGATGCTGCTAAAGCTAGTCCTGGACAGAAGGACTGATGGTCTTTGCAGGTGTTTGTGTGCATTTCACCATGCTGGGCACAGCAGTGAGTGAGCAGATATGGCCCTTGCCTCTTGGAGCCCAAGTCCCGTGGGAAGACAGATAGTAAACCATTAATTGCATAAATATATAATTAATTGCAAACTGTATTACGTGCTGTGGAGGAAAGGTACAGGCGGCTATGAAAGGTGAATAGGGAGACCTTTCAATTAGGGGTCTAAGAAAGTCACTATAGGGAAGTGACATTTAAATTGAGTCCTTGATGGATTAGAATGGGATCAAACTGTAGGAACATGTCCTAAATAACTAAATTCTTCATTTCCCGTAGTAACCGATGACCTGCTTCCTACACTGAGATTTCTCTCAGTGCCTTGTCACAAAGGAAACAGAACAGATAAGCACCAGAGTATGCTCTAGGCATCAACAGGCAAGGTGTGTAGCCTGGGCTCAGTGTAACCCACTCTCCCAGGGGCCAGATGAGTACTGACCATATTTGGGGTGCTGAGGCTGCATCCCGAGGATAAAAGTAGGAGACTTTATTTTCTTTTCATTTTTTAAAAGATTTTATTTATTTATTTTTGCGAGAGGGAGAGAGAGAGAGAGAGAGATTGAGCGAGTGTGACAACATGAGCCAGGGGGGAGGGGCAGAGGGAGAAAAGACTCCCCGCTGAGGAGGGAGCCTGATGTGGGACTTGCTCCCAGGACCCTGAGATCATTACCTGAGCCGAAGGCAGATGCTTAACCAACTGAGCCACCCAGGTGCCCTGGAGACTTTCTTTTCTAACTCTCCTGGGCTTTGTCCAAATTTCAGCATTCTCTTGCCTTTGAAGTGTACCTGGTCCCCTTTTCATCTGCTAACTATGACTTCTTTCTCCCTCTTTTGCCTCCAAAAAACTTCTCTGTGTATTTACCTTTGCATTATTTTGCAAAGGTATCAACCCCTAATCTTTCGTCATGCTCAGAACTCAGCTTAACGGGTACTTTTCTGAATATGATAATACTACACTGAGCCATTACCCAATCAAAGAACACCATAATATAAGATTGTTGGATAACAGTTACCACTGCAGGGGCACCTGTGTGGCTCAGTCTGTTAAACGTCTGACTCCTAATTTCAGGTCAGGTCATGCTCTCAGCATCATGAGATCGAACCCAGTGCGGAGTCTGCTTGGGATTCTCTCTCTCTCCCTCTCCCCCTCCCCTGCTCACTCGTTCATGCTTGCTCTCTCTAAAAAAAAAAAAAAAAAAAGAATTAAAACTATAAAGTTATATGACGGGGTAAAAATGCCTCCTAATTAATGGGAGAGATTTCGGTCTGAGAACTTTTAACTAGAAATGCACAGTGATGGGAGGACTGGTGTGTCTTAGCACACTAGTGTCTTCTGTCTCTCCAGGGGCCGTTGCTTGATGTAACATCCAGTGTTCATTGTGTTACAGAGCACAGTTGCTGTGTTGCAGAATGTTAGAAACCTCAACGTGTGTTCTCTAGGCGTCGGGCTGATGGTTTTCGGTTTGCTGTTGGGTGGCAAGGAGTTTAATGAGAGATTTAAAGAGAAATTACCTGCACCCATTCCTTTAGAGTTCTTTGCGGTAAGTCAGCTTTGACCACAGACACCTGACTACTTTGGTGAGGGATCTAGAAAGGGGAGGAACAGAGAGTTCTACCTTTTTTCTCCCAGTTCTGCCAAGAGAAGGGTAGAATATGTCAAGGGGAACTTTTACAAATATTCTAACAGAAAGGAAACCTATGAGAGTGTAGACAGGGATGATTTTCAAAGTCGAGGTGAAGGCCATCTGTAAAAATTGTAACATGAATCATCTCTGAGTGATGAGATTATGGAAGATTTTTCTTCCTCAAAATTTGTATTGACTAATTGTTTTATAACGAATACCTACAACTCTAATAACCTGAAAAAATTAAGCTGTTTCCATTTTGAAAAGAGCAAGAGACAAAGGTTCCCAGACTTTCTTGGTTCCTGGTGCTCCTAAGCCAAAAGAAATACCTAAGAGTATGAAGTAGTTAATACATATTTACAACTTAATACGTATATACATCCCACAACTTAGGAACTGTTGTAAAAATAATGCACATGCAATGAACTACTATATATTCTATTACGTTCTTAAATGACCACAACGGTTTATTAATGACGGTACCTTATTACTGGTTTGCTGCAGCCACCACTACAGTGAGGACTGGCACCCGGCCCTGGCCAGCCCTCCTTCCCCCCTGGATGACCCACTCAGAAAGTTCGATGGCAATAGTTCTTCAAGATGAAGAAACTTGCTTCTCCTTCTGTTACTTTTCCCGTTGCTCGTCAGTAAGGGCTGTACTTTACACATCCGCTGAATCTGTGCCCTGACCATCCAGGGAGGCTCATGCACAGCGGGATTCGGTGACCCCAAGTGTAGCTGAGCGGGGAGACTGCTGTGGGGCCAGTGGATGCCTCTAACCACAGCTAGTGCTGCTGACGTGGACAAGGGTCAGCAGAAAGACTGTGGGTCCAAACGTACATTTTCTAATGACACACTGTCAGTGCACCACTCTCCAGTGTCCCTTGTTCATGCCATCATAGTAAGAAGGGCAGAGGCCACTCCTGGAAGGTCTTAGGGCTCTTCCTGTTTGCAGTCAGCTGGCCAAACCCCTCAGCAGAGAACAAAACAAAATAAAGAGGAAAGAACGCCAGGCCAAGAGGCAATTTTGTGGGGAAAGAGCCACCAGGAGAAGTTAGAAATGCTAGCGGCTAACTATAATTCTGTTTCTTAAAACTGGAAGTTGAAAGTGAGACTAGATTGTGGCTTGGCTAACAAAATCGTTTGCAGCTCACGTTTGAATTTTCATCTATGAAGGCACATTTGGATTTGTGTCTGTTCTAGGTGGTGATGGGGACTGGCATTTCAGCTGGGTTTAACCTGGAAGAATCCTACAATGTGGATGTCGTTGGGACACTTCCTCTGGGGTAGGAAAACCGTTTTTATTTTAAGTAACATCAATAATCAATAGATTTATTATTGTTTGTAACTCCTGCTTTAGTATTCTTCCAATCAAAATCTCTTTTTTTCCCCCTACATATCAAATAGCTGAGGCTTTGGGGTCTTTTTGGGTTTTAGCAGTTTTTTTTTAAATTGTAAAAAAAATAACAAAATTTACCATTTTAATCATTTTGAAGTATACAGTTCAGTATGTTAAGTATATTCACATTGTTGTGAAACGGATCCCCAGAACTTTCTCATCTTGCAAATCTGAAACTCTGTACCCATTAAAACAAGAATTCTCTATTCTAACTACCCCCCCCAACCCCTGGCAACCACCACTCTTTTTCTCTGTATGAATTTAACTACTCTGGGTACCTTATAGGAGTGGAATTCTATTTGTCTTTTTGCGACTGGCTTATTTCATTCAGCATAATATCCTTAGAATTCATCTGCGTTGTAGCAAGTGACAGAATGTGCTTCCTTTTTAAAGTTGAATGAAATTTCACTGGAGATACACACACACACACGCACACACACACACATATCACCACATTTTGTTTATCCATTCACCCAACAATGGAACTTTGGGGTGCTTCCACCTCTTAGCTATTGTCAATATTATTGCTATGAACATGGGTGTGCAAATAGGTCCTCAGGACCCTGCCTGCAGTTCTTTTGGATACATACCCAGAAGTGGGATTGCTGGACCATAGGATAGTTTGATTTTTAACTTTTTGAGGAACTTCCATACTGTATTCCATAGTGAGTACACCATTTTACAGTCCCATCAACGGTAGTATGTAGTGTTTTCTTTTGTTTCCTGTTGCTGGTTCTTAAACTCTCTCTGCAGGTGGCCTAGGAATTAAGAGCCAAAATAACCTAAATCTAGCCTGACACTTAACTAGCTGTGTGACCTCGGGCAAGTCACTTATCCTCTTAAAGCCCCAGTCTCCTCCCCTGTCAGGTTAGCACCATCATCGACTCCTGTCTCCAGGGCAGCTGTGAAGCTACAGGAGCTCGTGTGTGCACCTGGAAGCATTTAAGACATGGGAATTGGAAGTTCTACAGTTCATTATTTCAACAGATTTTCTAGTTTCAAGTCATCTCTTCTTTGCTTCATCAATCCCCTTTTACCTAATTCTACATTTAAAATTTTTTACTATTCTCTTTATGTTTGAAGGATAACTGTGAGCCTCTCTTCTCACCTCATTCTGCCTCTCCGACATGCTCATCTCTGCATCTCTCTGTGTGTCTCTGTCTTTCTGTCTCTTGTACTGTCTCTTCCTCTTACCATCCTCTTCTCTTTCCAGATGAGCAGAATCAGATGTTTGCCCAGATGCTGGGCACTGATGAACCTGGCATACTGCATCAGGCCTTGTCTCTGGTCCCATCTAAGAATCTCCTGGGGAAGGACAGGGGCAGGAGTTGCTCTTGAAGCCAACGTCCACCCCCCACCCCAGGGCAGGTGTTGAAGGAGGAAGCAATGGATTGCCATCATGAACATGTTACTTATGATTCCGTGTTAAGGAATAACCCGGTAGTAACACTTGCTTTTCTGTTTGGACTTATAATTTATAAAATACTTTTATATCCACCATCTCCGTTGGTGCTCACAATCACACTGTTGACATATATGCTCTCCCCATTTGACACGATAAGGAAGTTCATTTATTTAAGCATATGTTTATTGAGTGCCTGTTATGTGCCAGGGACACAGCAGTTAAAAACAAAAGCAGCCATGCAAGCAAAAAAGTGTCTGCCCTCACGAAGCTTATATTCTCCGGTGGGGGGAGGGGACCAGGGAGCATGAACAGTGAGAAGTGCTGTGAAGAAGAGGGAGACCAGGTAAGTGATAGGGAGGGGCTGGGGTTGCTGTGTTAGGTAGGCTATCCGAGAAGGTGATATTTGAGAGACATGGATGAGGTTTAGTGGCTCACCGGTGAGTCCCAGCCTGGACCCAGAATACAGTCTTCTGATGCTCAGTTGTTAGCCGTTTCCGTTACCTCACACCTGGGTCTCTAAAATAATTAGTCATGTGCTAAGCCTTCGTCTTTGTCTAGATCCAAGAGACAGTTCTAGTCAATAATCACAAATAATTTGATTAAATGTGAATTCTTATGCTTAGATTTCTCCTTTTTAAAAATTCACATACAAATAACCACAGTTTCTACCCAATACCTCCCTTTCCCTATTGCATTGTACCCAAATATGTTGTTTTTCCTCCATGTGTGAGAGTCATACTTTAAAAAAAATTTTTTTTACCTTTCTATAACTTGACTACCCTTTCTGGAACTCTGCCCCAAACCAAGCAGGAAAGAAATAATGCTTACCTAACTACCTATCTATATATAATCATACTGTTTATCTATGAGTCTTACTGCTGAAAGTCTTACTGCTCCAAAACAATGTCTTAAGACATAATTTGTTTGCTCACAATTCACAATCTAGGTAGGGAGGTGGGTGGTCCCCTGCTGTCACTTGGGGTCTCTCGGGCAGCTGCTGATAAGGGGTGCCTGGTGGGCTTCACTCCCCAGTCCAGTCTGTCAGGTGGAGGGCTGGAAGGCGGAGGGCGGGCGAGCATCTTCTCCCGCAGGGTGACTCCAGCAGGATAGCCAGACTCTTATGTGGTGGCTCAGGGAAACAAGACAGAACAGAAGAAGGTGCCAGGCTGCTAAAAGCACTCATCCAGCATCACCCGCCCCGCATTCAGTTGGCTAAAGCAAATCACAAGACCAGCCCAGATTCACCGGAGGAGACACAGATCCCCCCGCTACACGGGAGGAGCAGCCCAGACAAGAATGGGAGGAACTGTTGGCGGCCATATTTGAACGCAAACTACCGCACTTATCTATCCACACACACAGGACCGTGTGTTGACTCTTAAAGGTCCCAGTCATGGCAGTATATCCTGTGTCTTGGTCTGCTTTCCTTAACTCATTCCAAAACACATTCTTTTCTCCTATTCTTCTGCGCTCCCAAATCTGCTGCTCGGGCTTCCCTCCTGGCTGATGCTTCTGCAGCAAAGTACAAGGGAAAGACAGTTTTACAGGCAGACCTCCTGGGCTTGACTCCTTGCTCCATCTTGGGCAAATAACAACATCTGCAAGGTTCCGTTTTTTCACCTCTAAATTAAGATAATAATGGCACCTGGCTAACAAGATTGCTGTGAGGACAGATGAGATGATGTATGGCAAGCATACGGCACGAAACGTAGGCTTAACATATGTTCGGATTTTTTTTCCTTCTCCCCCTCTCTTTCCCTTACCCCTGAACTTGAAACATCCCCTTTGTCACTGTGATATGACACAGAGAAATAGGCACAGGGAGGCAGGTTCTTCATGGTTTTTGTTGTACTGGTGGCCATTTGTACATGAGCCATCGGACCTTGGACAAATTGCTTAGTCTCACTATCCCTCATTTTCCTCATCTGTAAACTGGGGAATATAGTGGTGCCTAGCTCCCAGGGCTGTCAGAGATAAATAAGCACAGGACCTGGCGCAGAGGAAGCACCTAATAAATGGCTGTTATTGTAAAAAAAGAATAATATGGTATGTAAATTGATTGTTATTATTTAGCCCAATGCCTTGAATTGGATCAGGTGCCTTTGAAAACGTCTAGTGCCCCTTACCCCATACCATTCTAGGGAATCCCTATTCTGTTCCTTTAGGACAAGGGTTCCAAACTATAGGAATGGACCACAAAAACTGGGTTCCCCATTGGTCCCTTCAGACTCCCAGGGCTACCAGGTAAGACCCAAAGGGTATAATCTGTTGCTCCTTTCCCATGTTAGAAACTCACCTAAAGGGGTCCTGGGAAGCAGAGACCTTACTTGAAATAACAAAGGGGAGTAGTCTGGACAGTAGTTCTCCTCTAAGACAGCCCTTGTTAACACCCTCCCTGCCCTCAGACTTTGGTTCAAATGTCTTGTGCCACCTGAGCACTTTGCTGACCCTCCCTTCTTCCTGTTCTGTGTCTTACTTACACCTGCCATACAGAGTGTCATGAGGTATGAGGTTACTCCTTTTCTAAAGAAAACGGCATCTGATATCTGCTGATAACCCATTTGGGTAGAAAGCCAGTACTCTAGGGTTGGGCCCTAAAAAGAACCTGTGTGTGTCAAAGAGGGTATTCATTCCTTTTTGCCAAACCAGAGCAACTAACCATCCAAGCATTGATCACCTCATTTGCAGGTGAGGCTCTTCTGAAATGCTCCCGTCTAGTTGCATGTTTCTTTCCCAGTGGTCACAACACGTGGGTTAAAGTCAGCTTGACTTTTCAGGCTACTGCCTCCAGCCAACCCGGACACCAGCCTCTTCCACCTTGTGTACGTGGATGCCATCGCCATAGCCATTGTTGGATTTTCAGTGACCATCTCAATGGCCAAGACCTTGGCAAATAAACATGGCTACCAGGTTGATGGCAATCAGGTAAAAAAAATCATTCATTCCCTGCAGATGTTTCATTATGGTATAATCATCCAGCTGTGCTATGGAAGGCAAATGATTTGGATTTCTCTGTCTCATTAGAAAAACTTCTACTTTGATATTGGGGGTACTGGAAACATGTATGTATTCAACACCACAGTTTTTTCATTATTCATGTGCATTAGATCATCAGAACTGAACTGAAGTACAGTTCTACCTCATGTCATGGGTGGGGGTCCTGCTAGGCAGAGGTAACCTTTGATGTGAGGCTTTCAGTTTGCTATACTCCAACAGATGTTATCCTTATTTTTTAGGCTCACAGCCTGAGAAGCAGATGTTTTTCTAGAACCATTTCTGTGAAGACTTTTCTTTGCTCATCAAACTTGGACATGTGATTCATCACTCAAACTCCACATTATATTCTTTGCCACCACTTTTTAAAAATTTTTTTGAGAAGGATGGGGGAGGGGCAGAGGGAGAGAGAGAATCTTAAGCAGGCTCCACGCCCAGCACAGAGCCCAACGTGGGGCTCGATATCACAACCCTGAGATCAAGACGACCTGAGCCAAAATCAAAAGTCAGCCGCATAACTGACTGAGCCCCCCAGGTGCCCCGCCACCTCCTTTTATAACCTATCTATAGATAAGGTATTTAATCTGAATATGATGAGTCATAATTTTGGCATGACAATGTCTACTTTAAAACACTGTGTATTGGGCACCTGGGTGGCTCAGATGGTTAAGCGTCTGCCTTCGGCTCAGGTCATGATCCCAGGGTCCTGGGATCGAGTCCCGCATCTGGCTCCCTGCTCCTTGGGAGCCTGCTTCTCCCTCTGCTTCTCTCTCTCTCTCCCTCTCTCTCTCTGTCTCTCATGAATAAATAAATAAAATCTTAAAAAAAAAAATAAAACACTGTGTATTTCTAAGAGAAGATTAAATGCTGCACATTCCCACAAGACACAGTGATCCAACTAGGAAGACTGGAAGTAGCCCTGAGAGCAGGACTCACTCACTCACTGGTCCCAGGAGGACACTGGCATGCACTCACTGAAGAGCAACAGTCCAGGCATTTAGAAGATGCCAACAGTTCTATACACCAATAACTTATAAATATTTTGTCCCTTTTTGCTGCAGTTTTCTTTTTAAAAAAAACATTATTTGTGTAAAAGAGTGGGTTTGGGAAAGTGGGGACTAGGTAGTGAGTGCAGCTTTTATCTCTGACAGAACAAAAGCTCTAAGTGTTTTTCTCCCATCTTATTCAAGAATCCCTATTTTAAACTCATGCTAAACAAACTCTTGTATCTGGAAAGAGAATGAAGAGACAGCCTATCCTGCTGAAAATGTATCTTAAATGAGCCATCATGCCTTATTTCCTGAAGAATGACTGACTTTTCTGACTGACTTCTCGTGTGCTTTGTGTCCACATGGAAAAGGAGCTCATTGCCCTGGGACTGTGCAATTCCATTGGCTCACTCTTCCAGACTTTCTCCATTTCATGCTCCTTGTCTCGAAGCCTTGTTCAGGAGGGAACTGGAGGGAAGACACAGGTGCGTATACAACTGGCCTCTGAGGACCGGTGATTTGGGGTAGTAAACTTTAATCCCCTGATTCTGTTCTGAACCCAAACAAAGCTGCTCTCTCTGAAGATTGATGTTTCGGGGAGCTGTGTAGTGAATCAGAGAAAGGCATGAATGGTTGAAGCGATTCACAGGAACTGAATCTATAGGAAAGAGGTATATTCTCCAGTTAAATCGAAAATTACACAACACTCCCTGCTACCAGTAAACCTCAGAGTTCGGACATAGGATGTTGCCATGAAAGCCTAAGGCTGGGTACGGACGGTCAGGATGCCAGCACCATCCAGTAGAACTTTCTGCAGTGTTGGAAATGTTCACTATTTTGCATCATCCAGTACGACAGTCATTAGACACGTGGCCCTTGAGCACTTGAAACATGGGAAATGCAACCAAGACCTGAATTTTTAGTTGTATTTAATTTTAATTTTAAAAATTTAATAGCTGCACATGGCTAGTGGCTACTGCATTGGACAGCAGAGTCTCATTTGACTCTGCTGGCCCTTGTGGGTCTTGGGTCATTATGTCCTTTCCCTCACCCCTGACAAGGGCATTTTGGTCAGAGTTTTTAATCATTTCAGCCTCTATTTAAAAGCTGTAAGAGAAACCAAAACTTCAGAAAGGGGAATGGGAAGGAGTTATAGGTTTATGTAATGGTTTTGATGACTTGTTTGAATCCATATTTTCTTGATCTTCCTGCAGTAATTAACAAAAGACTAAGATCACCCTCTGCCCCACCTCTTACTCGTGTCTTCTAAAAGCCCATTCCATGTGTCATCTCTCATTCAGCTTGCAGGTTGTTTGGCCTCGCTAATGATTCTGCTGGTCATATTAGCCACCGGATTCCTCTTTGAATCATTACCCCAGGTGTGTAGTTTGGACTTGGTGTGAGGTGCTTCCATGTGAAGAGATTTTGCTCTTTTGTTTGTTTATATTTTTGTGGCCATCTCATGGGTTTTTACTGTAACCCTATCAGAGCAGTATAAGAAAGGGCCAAGGCTGGGACCAAGATCCCACTCCACAGTCTACAGTCCTGCCCCACAATCTGGGACCTTGGGAAAGCCATCTCAACATCTGTGGGTCTCTGTTTCCTTATCTGCAAAGTGGGGGGTTTGGACTGATTAATCTCCCAGGGTCCCTTCTCTCTTTGATCTTCCATGACCTTGTACTTCCGTTAAAAATCTGAGATGGCCTTCACTCCGAAGACATTTGTTTGCCCATCTAATTAATCTAGCAGAGATCAGAGTAGAGAACATCATAGTGTAGGAAGACCATGGGTGAAATAATTCCTCGAGTACCAAGTTTAATTCTGAACCTCTTGACCACCATGCAGGTTTGTTGCTAGGATATAAGCCTGGTTTTCCAAGGCCCATTCTAGCTAACCGAGTCCTGAAAATCCAGGTGTTCATGGCTCCACACGTACCATCACGGCTGCATGGGAAGCGAATGGGGAGAGGACGTGGGGAGGGCAGCAGAGGACAGTGAGGAGCCAGCAAAGGGGGCTCTCTGTGCACAAGGGGAGACGCATGCGTGATGTGCTCTGTTTCAGGCTGTGCTGTCAGCCATTGTGATTGTCAACCTGAAAGGAATGTTTATGCAATTCTCAGATCTCCCCTTTTTCTGGAGAACAAGCAAAATAGAACTGGTAAGTAACAAAGATGATTGTTAGGTTAATATGTCATTGCGACACATGGATGAGTGCTGGTAAAAATGTGAGAAAGATAAGTTAGTGCTGTCATTGGTTATATGTAGTATCTAGTCAGGCAAGGTTAGGTACCGTGTGTGTGTGTGTGTGTGTGTGTGTGTGTCTTAGGAAATTCTAGCATGATTCTACATAAAGCTTTCTGTCTTTCTTGTAGACCATCTGGCTTACCACTTTTGTTTCCTCCCTGTTCCTGGGATTGGACTATGGTTTGATTACAGCTGTGATCATTGCTCTGCTAACTGTGATTTACAGAACACAGAGGTGAGTGTACAAATTGGGATGGATGTGATTGTCCTGCCTGAAATTGCATTGTTGACTTTAAATATATTGTATTTGTCAACAGACACCACTAGATTGTGAGCATCTTGATTGTGAAGGCGATATTTCCAGAGTCCATGCCGGGCATATAGTGTGTATTCTCTGAAAGCTTGTTGAGGGAATCCACCCAGAAAAACAGCTAACGTTCATATCATATATTCTAATTCACAAAGCACTGGTGCATACCTGCTAAGCACCAGGGCATTGTAGCAAGTCGATGGAATGTCAAATCAAAGACCTTGAGCCATATTCTTGCTTTGCCAATCCCTCTGACATTGAACAACTCACTCCACTAGGCCTCAATTTCTCATCCACAGAATAGCAGAAAAGAAGACTCGTGTGTAGGATATAGTAAGGTAATATGAGGTGCTCAAGCACTAGTATCTGTCATTACAGGATCCAGTTTGAGCCAGATTGTCCTCTAAAAAGAGGCAGGCTCTCGAAAAATAACGTTTAAAATCTATTCAAACTGGGGCGCCTGGGTGGCTCAGTTGGTTAAGCGACTGCCTGCGGCTCAGGTTGTGATCCCGGAGTCCCAGGATCGAGTCCCGCATCAGGCTCCCTGCTCAGCAGGGAGTCTGCTTCTCCCTTTGACCCTCCCCCCTCTCATGCTCTCTCTCTCTCTCATTCTCGCTCTCAAATAAATAAAATCTTTAAAAAAAATAAAATCTATTCAAACTGGGGCGCCTGGGTGGCTCAGTCATTAAGCGTCTGCCTTCGGCTCGGGTCATGATCCTGGGGTCCTGGGATCGAGCCCCGCATCGGGCTCCCTGCTCGGCGGGAAGCCTGCTTCTCCCTCTCCCACTCCCCCTGCTTGTGTTCCCTCTCTCGCTGTGTCTCTCTCTGTCAAATAAATAAATAAAATCTTTTAAAAAAATAAAAATAAAATCTATTCAAACCAAACTTAAGAAAACTTCTATGCTAATAAGATTTTTGTTCGTTTGTTTTCTTCCCACACCTTCAGTTGACTACCACCCCCAGGAGTCAGAGCCTCTTATTAGAAACCAAAAGAAAATCTCCTCCCCTGCTTTTGAATAAGAGTAGGAAGACAGTTCTATTGAGTGGATGAGAATTAGAGTTACACATTCCTTGGCATGGCTTGAACTCCACAACATTCACTTTTGCCCCCATTTTTAAATGCCTGAGTCTTTTGCCCTGACTAGATTGTGTGGTGTGCATGTGTGTGAGAGAGGTGTGTGTGTGCGTGCGTGCATGTGTGTGTACATGCATGAAGAGTATGTGGATGTGTGAGTCATGTATGTTTGGGACGGGGTGTGGGCATGTGCCAGGAATGGCCCTGGGAATGTGATCCATGTGAAGCCCTCCGCAAATGTTCCCTATAAGGATCACGTATTCCTGAATTCACTAGCAAGTCCATACGTAAACACGCACAACCTCCTGTTTAAATCACATACTGGGCCTCAAAACAATGGTATTTTAACACCCTGTCCCTCTGTCTTTAGTCCCAGCTACAAAGTCCTTGGACAGCTTCCCGACACAGATGTGTATATCGATATAGATGCATATGAAGAGGTAGGACTTTTTTCTCATTTTAAATGGTGGTAAGCCAAATAAATAAAATCTTTTAAAAAAATAAAAAAATAGGGGTGCCTGGGTGGCTCAGTCATTAAGCGTCTGCCTTCGGCTCAGGTCATGGTTCCAGGGTCCTGGGATCAAGCCCCGCATCAGGCTCCCTGCTCGGCGGGAAGCCTGCTTCTCCCTCTCCCCCTGCTTGTGTTCCCTCTCTCGCTGTGTCTCTATCAAATAAATAAAATCTTTTAAAAATAAATAAATAATAAATGGTTGTAAGTATGTCATGGGATCGGCTGACTACATTTTTTACACAGGACAAAAAGTGGGGCTGAAAAGGAGGGAGGTGTTGCAGTCAGAATGAAAAGCCTGAACTGGAATTTACTGTCTGTATTCACTTTTAGAGTTTATACTCTACATTAATCACTCAACCTCCTAATATTTACTTTTCCCCTTTCTTCAATAGGGATAAATAGATATTCCTGGAATTAAAGTATATATTTACCAAATACTGAAACTGAGAGGATGGTTTGTACTTGCGTGATTTTATGCCTTCAAATTCCCTTGATTTTGAATATCCTGAGGGGGCATCTGGAAGACTTGTACAAAACCTTTTAAAATTAGCTTCGTCTTGTAAGACTGATGAATCACAGACCTATACCCCTGAAACAAATAATACATTATATGTTAATTTAAAAAAAAGAGAGTCAGACACTTAACTGCCTGAGCCACCTGGGTGCCCCCCTAAATAAAGTTTTATTGGAACACACACACACACACACACACACACACACACACACACGAATTTTTCTCAAAAAAAAATTAGCTTAGTCTCTTTGATTTGCCTTATGTTTGGGAAGCAATTCTCAGATTCGCTGTAAGTACTGGGAAATGAGACTGGTATTAGGATTGTTCATTTTTCCTCCTTCTATAGAATTATGTGCTGGATTTGTCACTTCCAAACTGCATTCTAAAGTTCCTTGAGGCTTCTGGGTAAAACATTCACTCTGTGGAACTTGGGTCTGTTTCAGCTCCGGCCTGCATTCCAGGAACCAACCAACATAACCTCTCTTCACTCCATCTGCCTGTTCTTCATGGTCTGAGGGGCAGCCTCCCCTCCCTATCCGTTTTCTTATCTCTGTTTGTAAGTTTTCGGTTCCTTCTTTGTGTTTTATGGTGAATATGAAACAAAGACTTTTAAAAGAAATGTGAAGATGTGCATATTAAATGCTTTCTTCTCAGACCTCCTTCCTCCAGGGCACACTAGTAGGTAGGCTAGAGTGACAGAATTTTATCTAAACACCATAGGAGGGCCTTTAATGAATTCTGCGTTGATTTTCAGGTTTGAGGAGGGAGGCGGGTGCAGTTTGGACTCTGAAATATTTCCATGTGTTAAATTCACTAACATTTTATTTCTCAGGTGAAAGAAATTCCTGGAATAAAAATATTCCAAATAAATGCCCCAATTTATTATGCAAATAGCGACTTGTATAGCAGTGCTTTGAAAAGAAAGGTGAGTCGCAAGAAATTGATGATTTTTGAGGGGACCTGTGGATTGACAGGAATGTGAGGGACACTTAAATGTCTTGATATACCTTTTATACTATTTCATTCTCTCCCCCTTGGTAAAATACATAAAATTTATCATTTTCAGTAAATTTACCATTCAGCAGATGAATGAAGTACGTCCACATTGTTGTGCAACCAGCACCACTCATACCACTAGTCATTCGCTTTTCTCATGTGCACATACTACCTTTTCAAAAGATTTTTAAGAAAGAGAGTGAAAAAATAATTTTAAGTGTCTCTTTGGATCGTGTGGGTTCCTTTGGTCGTGATTAAAACTGGACCCCACACCGCCCAGTTTATAAGAAAACCTGCCAATCAACCCACAGAGTCTCTTAAATATAAGAATCTGAGAGTACATTTGAAAAATACTCCTTTAAATATTCTCTTTGATAGTTTAGTGTATTCACTGCTGCATCCTGCTGAATGCACATAAGAATAAGGAGAGTTACTCCCTTTCCTTTAATGAGGGAGTAACTCAGCTCAGGGTGCCTGAGGGTAGAGCAAGAGGTGGGGTGATAACTTGGCATTGAAAACAGTCCAATGGGGGAGATTTGAAGATTTACTGCATTTGGGTGGGTTTCTGGGTGCCAAGAAGTGATTTTGCGTGTATTGCTCTTCTATAAAGACTGGAGTGAACCCAGCATTCATAATGGGAGCAAGAAGAAAGGCCATGAAGAAGTATGCTAAGGAAGTTGGAAATGCAAATGTGGCCAACGCAACCGTTGTCAAAGTGGTGAGTCGTCTCTTCACTGTAGCTGAAGAGCCTCCGCACTGCCCCCCACCTTCATGCATGATTGAAGTCTTAACACAGCAGGAAGCCCCTAAAATAGGAAAACTTAGAAACAGTCGAAGTATCCTTTATATATTAAAGATACATGATAAGGTCAGTTATGAGAATGCTTCTGAAAAAATTAGGGATATGAGCCCCAGAAAACATTGTTTAAAAAAAAAATAAAGAGGGCGCCTGGGTGGCTCAGTTGGTTAAGCGACTGCCTTCGGCTCAGGTCATGGTTCCAGGGTCCTGGGATCAAGCCCCGCATCAGGCTCCCTGCTCGGCGGGAAGCCTGCTTCTCCCTCTCCCCCTGCTTGTGTTCCCTCTCTCGCTGTGTCTCTATCAAATAAATAAAATCTTTTAAAAATAAATAAATAATAAATGGTTGTAAGTATGTCATGGGATCGGCTGACTACATTTTTTACACAGGACAAAAAGTGGGGCTGAAAAGGAGGGAGGTGTTGCAGTCAGAATGAAAAGCCTGAACTGGAATTTACTGTCTGTATTCACTTTTAGAGTTTATACTCTACATTAATCACTCAACCTCCTAATATTTACTTTTCCCCTTTCTTCAATAGGGATAAATAGATATTCCTGGAATTAAAGTATATATTTACCAAATACTGAAACTGAGAGGATGGTTTGTACTTGCGTGATTTTATGCCTTCAAATTCCCTTGATTTTGAATATCCTGAGGGGGCATCTGGAAGACTTGTACAAAACCTTTTAAAATTAGCTTCGTCTTGTAAGACTGATGAATCACAGACCT